AGACCAGGACCAGACCAGGACTGTGACCGGGACTGAGACCAGGACCAGACAAGACATGATCAGGTCTGAGATTAGGACTAAGACCGGGACTAGACCGGACCAGACCTGAACTGAGAACAGAACCAGACCAGGACTGAGACCAGGACCATAACGGGACTGAGACCAGGACTGACCGGGACCAGACCCAGGACTGAGACTGGGATCCAGCCTGGAACTGAGACCAGGACTGAGACTGGGAATGAGACCGGGACTGAGACCGATTTAGTCCTGGTTTAGACCTGGTTTAGTCCAGGTTCAGTCCTGGTGTAGTCCTGGTTTAGACCTGGTTTAGTCCAGGTTCAGTCCTGGTGTAGTCCTGGTTTAGTCCAGGTTCAGTCCTGGTGTAGTCCTGGTTTAGTCCAGGTTCAGTCCTGGTGTAGTCCTGGTTTAGACCTGGTTTAGTCCAGGTTCAGTCCTGGTGTAGTCCTGGTTTAGACCTGGTTTAGTCCAGGTTCAGTCCTGGTTTAGACCTGGTTTAGTCCAGGTTCAGTCCTGGTGTAGTCCTGGTTTAGACCTGGTTTAGTCCAGGTTCAGTCCTGAAAAACTGATAAAACGAATCATTGTCCATTTTTTCATTTTGATTTTGGAGACAAATAATGAAGAAAATCTTAGTTTTTTTCTTTTTATTTTGAAAAACAAATGAACGAACGACACACAGATTTGAGATCAGTACTTGTACTTTAGTCCCTTCCCCGGTGCGTCTCCTGGTGCAGTTGGCCGCTCCGCCTCTAGAGGGCAGTGGGGTGTGGAGTCAGGATGGAGGTTGCCTTGGGTACGTGACTCTCTGACCCCAAACATCACTCTGCACTTTTCTCTTTTCTGTGTTTATCGTGTATTTATTCGTTTATATTTCTCTCGAAGCGTTGTATAAAATAATCTGTGCCGCACGTGCCCAGGCTCGGAGCTGATGCCCAAAGCCCTGTCCACTCGCATCGTGGGGGGCATCTGGTGGTTCTTCACGCTCATCATCATCTCCTCGTACACGGCCAACCTGGCGGCCTTCCTCACCGTGGAGAGGATGGAGTCTCCCATCGACTCCGCCGACGACCTGGCCAAGCAGACCAAGATCCCGTACGGCGTCGTGGAGGACGGCTCCACCATGACGTTCTTCAAGGTAGGAAAAAAAAAAAACAACGAGGAAAGTGTGAACGGGTGAAGTTACAGGTTCGATCTGTGGAGAGGCGAGCCCACTCACAGTAATGAAAGCATGTTTTTGAAGGTATTTTGAGGCAGTAAAAACAACCTGTATAAAGATCTAACAGATAATACTCCCTACAACTGTACTCTTATGTGACAGTAAATACTCCCTACAACTGTACAACAACTCACTCTTATGTAACAGATAATACTCCCTACAACTGTACAACAACTCACTCTTATGTAACAGATAATACTCCCTACAACTGTACAACAACTCACTCTTATGTAACAGATAATACTCCCTACAACTGTACAACTCACTCTTATGTAACAGATAATACTCCCTACAACTGTATTATGTGACAGTAAATACTCCCTACAACTGTACAACAACTCAGCCTTATGTAAGAGATAATACTCCCTACAACTGTATTGTGTAACAGATAATACTCCCTACAACTGTACCGAAGGCGAACCCACGTAAACTGTCGGTTGATCAGGACTGAGACCCGAACCAGACCAGGACCAGACTGGGACTGAGACCGGAATCAGACCAGGACTGAATCCCGGGACTGAGACCAAAACTGAGACCAGGACTGAAACGGGGAACTGGACCAGACTGGGACTGACACCGGGACCAGACTGGGACTGAGACCAGGGGACTGAGACAGGACTACAGACCAGACCAGAACAGACCGGGACTGAGACCGGGACCAGACCGAGACTGAGACCGGACTGGGACAGACGGACAGACCAGGAGACCAGGGCTGAGACCAGGGACCAGACCAGGAAGACCGGGACCAGACTGGGACTGAGACCAGACAGACTGGAGACAGACCGGGACAGACCGGGAGTCCGGGACCAGACCTGGACTTAGACCAGACTCGGGACCAGACCGGGACTGAGACCCAGACCAGGCTTAGACTGGACCAGGACCAGACCTTGGGACTGAGACCAGTTTTAGTCCTGGTTTAGTCCTGATTCAGTCCTGGGATCAGTCCTGGTTTAGATCTGGTTTAGTCCTGGTTTTAGTCCTGTTTAGTCCCCAGTCCTTTAGTCCTGTTTAGTCCTGTTTTAGTCCTGGTCCTTTCAGTCCTGGTATCAGTCCTGGTTCAGTCCTGGTTTAGTCCTGTTTTAGTCCTGGTTTAGTCCTGCTTTAGTCCTGGTTCAATCCCGGTGACCAGTATCTCCGTGTTCCTCTGTTTCCTCTGCGTCCTTCAGAAAACCAAGATCTCCACGTACGATAAGATGTGGGAGTTCATGAACAGCAGACGCTCCTCGGTCATGGTGCAGAACGTGGAGGAGGGAATCCAGCGCGTGCTCACCTCGGACTACGCCTTCCTCACCGAGTCCACCACCATCGAGTTCGTCACCCAGAGGAACTGCAACCTCACGCAGATCGGCGGCCTCATCGACTCCAAGGCGTACGGCGTGGGGACACCTATGGGTAAGGAGGGGCATTACGCGCGACACGAGCACCACAGCTTTTTGGCGTTGGACGGGCTTGTTTATCGTCGAGTAGTTTCGTTTTAAATATTGACACTTTTACCGTAGATTTGCCAAATCCAGTCTCATACACTGGCTTTGTGTCCCTTGGTACAAAATTTTAAGTTTGTTGCTGGTTGGGTAAAAATAAGCTCTTTAACCCACTGACGCCGGATGCTGCGCAGTGCAGCCCTGAGTCTCCTGTCGGTGTCCGGATTGTCTGGCGATCAGCGTAACTGGTAAAGGCGGGGCCACACCTGGAAGCATGGGGGGGGCGTGTCCTCCTCTCGCTTCTATTCAATCCCAGACGCAAAACTGCCAGAGCTGTATTGTCGCGTTAAACCTTCTTTATCGTGACGTTTTATTTCTCCATTGAAAATAATCCAAATGTCCCGCATATGTTCCCATCAAGACCTGGTTTGAAGTAACAAACGTTGCGCTTTACTGCAGCGCATGAACGCACTCAAACACTTGATCTGTTCGCTGTTCCAGACGCTCCTATAACAGGTGCCATATCGCTATGTTGTGTAACAAATAAACATGGTCAAACACAAAAATGTTGTCCATTTTTGTGCTTGACCATGTTTATTTGTTACACGAGCGTTATAGGAGCATCTGGAACAGTGACCAGATCAAGTGGTTGAGCGCGTTCATGCGCTGCAGTAAAGAGCAACATTTGTTACTTCAAACCAGGTCTTGATGGGAACATGTGCGGGATACATACATGTGCGGGAGAAATAAAACGCCACGATAAAGAAGGTTTAACGCGACAATACAGCTCCGGCAGTTTTGCGTCTGGGAGTGAATGGAAGCGAGAGGAGGACACGCCCCCCCCATGCTTCTTCCAGATGTGGCCCCGCCTTTACCAGTTACGCTGATCGCCAGACAATCCGGACACCGACAGGAGACTCAGTGCTGCGCAGCATCCGGCATCAATGGGTTAATGGCCGAGTAATCATAACTATTTAAAATGAATGGTGCGCTTTGTAACCATGATCTTAAAGGGACAATCCAGAATTTCCTAGTGAGCCAGAGTGTTGGAGACGTGTGGAGACACTTTTTAAAATATTACACCCAGTCCTTGTATTTGCAGAGGTCGCTGGTGCTAGGCTAGTGCATGTCAATGGCCATAGTTAGCCTGCCGCCAAAAACAGTCTTACCCACTCCACAAAACACCCGAAACAAATGTATTATTACACCAGACTGTCGATGTGAACGTCTGTGTCGATAGAATAATCTGAGAAGTAAAACCAACCTTGCATTTGAAGGATTTATGTCTGAGCAGCGGCGGACTGATATATGAGAAAATAGTCCCTCAATACGCAACGATTTATGTGATTTTTGAGCACCGGGTAACACATAAAATCAGTTCAAGGTCAGTAAGCACAACCAGAATTACAAAAATACATAAGGCACGCTGTCGATTTTTGAGAAAATTAAAGAATTTTAAGTGCACCTTAAAGTCTGACAAATCCGGTAAACATTTTGGCTTGACCCTCCACAACATCTTTTGTTTCTTATGTGGCCCCATGAAAAAAATAACTGCCCACCCCTGTTCTAAACTGTATAAAGACGTGAACTAAGCGAGTGTGACGTCATTCATAATCGGCTCCAGTCAAATGAAGCTTAGCGGGGGCTGGCGGTTATAGCGGCAAATCTGCAAATCAATCAGGAGTGGGGCTGGTTTTAGTCGATCAAACACCTCGTTGGGCTATTATTAAGGTAGATTGATTTATTTATGGATTCTGAATAAAAAAATGACATGAGGGTCACATAGAGTAAGTTAAAACCGACATGACGAGCCCGACAGCAGCGGTTATAGAAAGAGGAGTGATGGTTTTTCGATAAAAGTCAGCGGGAACCAGAGCTCAAAGAAATTGCTCTGTGCCCGCGCCGTGCTCCTACGCTCACTTTATTTGGATCGCGGCGTCTTACAGGTTAACTAGTTCGCTTTGTTAACTGCTGTAACTGAATAATGGCATGATAGATAGGTTTAATAACAGGTAGAAGATTCAACCGGAGAAGCAGATGACTCACCGTCCACCAGAAACAGTACAGAGTGCACGCTTAATATTCAAAACTCAAACTGCTTGTAAGATTTGATTTTAAATTCCATAAACTCGACCTGTCTGTGTGTCCAGATACGAGGTAAACGTGTTCAAATTCAAGTTTTTATTGTATTTTTCGGAAGACCTCAGCTCTTCCAAGTCCGAGGCCGCGGTTCTCGTTCGGAAAGAGGTGTGTTGTCGTCTCCGGGTGGGTGGAGGAGTTCAAGTATCTCAGGGAGGGGCTTGTTCATGAGCGTGAGATTGACAGGTGGATCGGTGCGGCGTCGGCAGTGATGCGGTCGCTGTATTGGACCGTTGTGGTGAAGACGGAGCTGAGTCGAAAGGGAAAGCTCTCGATTTACCGGTCAATCTTCGTTCCTTCCTTCACCTCTGGTCATGAGCTCTGGGTAAAGACCGAAAGGACGAGATCACGAATACAAGCGCTCGAAATTATTTTCCTTTGCAGGGTGTCTGGGTGCTCCCTTAGTCTACGTTCAGACTGCAGGGCTTAACCCTCAATTTGGATATTTTTCGTGAAATCTGATGTTTTTGCGACGTCGTTCACATTTCCAATTAAATGCGACTTGTATTCGATCCCCTGTGTGAACATTAAACGTCCCAAAAGTGTCCCGCATGTGACACTGGAGACACGACGACGTCAACCACAGCGAGCGTCTCTGTGTTTACGGAAGTTGTCCAAACATGGACGCAGCATCGAGCACCTGGAGATTTTAAAGTTCCTCTCGTACCGGAGCCAGAACATGAACAACTTACTTGTTTTAAGGAGGAGATTGAGAAGGAGAAGGACGAGGTTTTTGGTCGTGGTGTTTTGTGGGGCAGCGGCAGCGACGTCCGTTGAAAGGAACGTGTGGATGTGGAGACGGAGCCAAGAGTGGTGAGTGGTGATGTGCTTCACTTCAGTGACATGGAGTTCATTAACAATTTTCACCTACTTCAGCGCAGAATAGTGACGTTTGTGTCTTGTTGATAACGTGTAGGTGGATGAATGCACTTTGACCGTTCAGACTGAAGTCACATGTCAAAAGATCAGATATGTATCAGTTTCAGGAGCACATATCCAAGTGTCCTGGGTCACATTTGAAAAAATCGGATCTGTGTCGTTCAGACTGTCATTAAAAGATCAGATACAGGAACATAGAAGCCAAAAAATCGGATTTGGGTCACTTCAGGCTGCAGTGTGAACACAGTCTTATAGTCCAGTGCAACTTACATATGCTTTTTCTTCTTCATTACACATTTTTGGCTGATGCGACTTATACTCCGGAGAGACTTATAGTCCAAAAAATACGGTAGATAAAGCCTAAATGGGCTCCAAAAAATGAACAAAAACAACCGCAGTTATTTCCTGGGATTCGGTACTTGATGATGTATTCTTAATGACAAAAACACCAGACATGACACTTATTTTATTGGTTTTTCAAGACAATTATCCCATCAGAAAGTAGAATGAGCCCCACATGAGTCTCTCTTTTGCGTTGCCAGTTCCAGTGCTGAAATTCAGTTGATTCAAACCTAAAATGTCTCCCTCTGATGTGAACGGTCACTCCCTCAACCCCGGCCCCTACAGCCAGTCGTGAGTCAGTGCTAGTGCAGCGTCTGCAGCTCAGGGAGTGTAACTCTGGAGGCTGTGAGGTTCCTTCACACGTGGCAGTGTCTCGTTGAACCGGCCGTGGCCTCGTGTGCGCAGGGACATGGATGCAGCGTGACAGTTAGTGCTCTGTGCGGCGCCGGCGGCTTCGGCTCTACGGAGCGTTTGACCTTTATTGATGGGGTCGGCGCGGCAACAGCTCCGCGGCGAGTGACAGGGGCGGCCGTGACAGGTGCAAAAGGTGCAGCCCGATGAAAAGAAAATGGTCCCAGAGGTGGGATTTATGGCCGGGGCTAAAACCCGCCCAAGGCTCCAGAGATGCTACTGCCAACCACTCTGCCGCTTCTATAATGGCTTCCTCCAATGGGTGTTTTATTTACAGCTGCTGTCCTCGGCGCCGTTCGTGCTGCTGCGGGGCTAATACAAAACAGACACCGCACACAGATAACACTGTCTACCTCCAATTAAAACGGATAAATTGTGCCCACAAATCTATTTTGTCCCTGATATTTATTAGTGGTGATTTCCTCTCATCCTGGAGTGAAGCTTTAGGTGCATAATAATAACGAAACCGTCACCTTAAAGAGGCGATACTTGACTTGTGCGTGATATAAACTGTAACATATAACCAGTGTCGGGGAGTAACAGATTACAAGTACCAGAGTTATGTAATCAGAGTAATCAGAGTACAAATTATGAGTAACGGTATTCGGTTACAGTTACTGTTTCAGTGAGTGGTAATTGGATTACAGTTACTTTGTTGAAATAAATGGATTACACAGAGGGATTTTCCTGTTTTCACATTTTGGGCTAAACCAGGACTAAACCAGGACTAAAACCAGGACTAAAATCAGGACTAAACCAGGACTAAACCAGGCTTAAAACCAGGACTAAACTGGGGTTAAAACCAGGACTAAACCGGGATTAAAACCAGGATTAAAACCAGGACTAAAACCAGGACTAAACCAGGATTAAAATCAGGACTAAAACCAGGACTAAAATCAGGACTAAATCAGGACTAAAACCAGGTCTAAGACCAGGACTAAGACCAGGACTAAACCAGGACAAAACCAAGACAAAAAAACAGGACTAAACCAGGACTAAAACCAGACCAATATCAAGTAATCCAAAATATTCAGATTACATTACTCACTTTAAATAATTTAATGGATTATGTTACAAACTACATTTTGGTGTGTGTAATCTGTAATCTGTAGGGGATTACATTTTAAAAGTCACCTTCCCAACACTAAATATAACTAGTGATGGACAACTGAGACGGAGCTCTGGAGCACGTCTCGTTCT